CCCCAAAACCCCAAAACCCCAAAACCCCAAAACCCCTATTAGAGGTTTAATAGTTGAATATTAGATTTCTTCATTTTCTTCCTCATCGAGGATGTTTTGGTGGATTTGGGATAGGATTTCGGGGTCTTGGAGTTTTGACTCAAGGATTTCGCCCATTTCTTCGAAATCGAACTCTTCTCACTCGTTATCTGGTGAGTCTTCGTTGTCTTTTGGAATTAATCCTGCTTTCTGTAAAGCTCTTTCTACCTTTTCGTGACGATCTGCGAGGAATATCCGTGACTGGAAGAGATGCTCATACCATATTGACAGGTATTTTCCTTTGATGTTCTGAAGTTCTTCTCCAACCTTTTCAGCAACTTGGTTTTGGAAGACATCTCCAAGTGCCAAAATTTGCCCGAAAAGTTGAGTTGAAAGTATTTCAGCCATTCCATCTTGCTCTCCATTTTCTTGTTGCTGAGATTGCTCAGGCATTTGGGATCTTACATACTCTGTTCTTTGACTAAGATCAGGAGGCTGAGCTCGTTTCCGAGCTTCTCTATCTCTGCGCCTCTTGTTCTTCATCGCTTGAACATGGTACCGTTCACTAATAGAGTTATATCATCCGTTTGGATCATTTTCAGTATCTGAGTTTTCATCTCTCGATTCATCTCCTTCTGAAAGTATTTTATGTTCTTCTTCTTGGGGTTGGGTAGAAGTGTTAATAACTTCTTCGTTTTGTTCATAAACTTCAACTTGCCTATCTCTGCTTTGAGTGTGGTGCTCATGAGGTTCCATTTGTTGTGTTTGGATTTCAACCTCATCATGATCATCTTGATCCACAATTTCATCAGTTTGGATTTGCATTTCATTTGAGTGCCCTATATTTGACTGATCTGTATTTTCAATGTGGTTTTCCTGTGCAACAGGGTTATCAGTCTCAGACTGGGCTTGCCCATTTGCCATCTGCACAGAACTCGTTTGATCTGTTTGGCCTCCATAATCTAATCAATGAGTACAGGCTTCTATTTCCTTCTTTTGTTCCAAAAGCATATGCTCTTTCTTCTCTATCTCTTTGATCTTGAGATAAACTTTGTTCTTGTTCATATTCTCTTTGTTCATGAAGTCATAGAGATTGTTGTCCCTTAAGTACTCCATGGTCAGATTTATCTCAGGCTTGACTCTTTTTGTAAAAAGAAGAATCTTGTATGCTCTTTCAATGAACATCTTCTTTAGAGGCCATTCACTGTTGATCAAAGAGTTTTTCTTCTTGACTGTGTTGATCAATGCTTCATATTTCAGAACGGTGAACTCAAGGATGGCGTCAAGCCATGAAGCTAGAATTTTTGCAGAATTTGTTAGAGGGGAGTTACTGCCAGGATGGCAAAATCTGTCGATATACTCGGTTTTTATTAGTCTCATCTGTTGAAAACTAAGTTTGGGGATCGCATCAATTTGGCCAATCTTCTGAAATATCTCAAAGAATTCTGGCGTTCTCATGTAATTTACTGCATTTTCTAGCAAATCCGATGAAATATCATCAACAGAGGAAGGTATATACTCATCAGGATTTATTACCATGCAGCATATGAGTCAGATGATTAGGCCTCGCGTATCACCTTGGCTTACAATATCTCTCACTACCGAATTAAAGTTAAGAGATGAGAAAGTATTTATTATGAGGCTTTAATAACTGAGGAGCATTTTCTTTTCATACAGAAACTCCAGAGACTGCACCTGCTCGAGAATCTCGTCCTTGACAACCTTGCACCAGGTGAGTCTGACAGCATCTAGCCAGCTCCCACAGACACCTCTGAACAAAAATAATTCTTTTGATGTAAAGTAGCTAATATTCTTTCTTTTCTTCTTGTCTTCCCCATCTTTTGGTTCATCTTCACTATCATGGCCATGGATAGACTCAGTCGTAAGGATGCAGAACCTGAACACCTCCGGAGGAAGGTCATTCAGCGACCTTGGCTTATTATTTTCATAAAGCTCCATTTTGAATTAGATTTTTAAATATTATTCAACCCAATTCTTCGGAGAAGGGGTTTTGGGGTTTTGGGGTTTTGGGGGTTTGGGGTTTTGGGG